TCTTCCCCCCATACCTCCTTCTCTCTCTCTCTCTCTCTCTCTCTCTCTCTCTCTCTCTCTCTCTGTGTGTGTGTGTGTGTGTGTGTGTGTGTGTGTGTACTTATACAATATTTAAACAATAGAGTTGGGGATGTTTTGTTTTGAGATAGTCTCACTCTGTCACACAGGCTAGAGTGCCATGGCATCAGCCTAGCTCACAGCAACCTCAAACTCCTGGGTTCAAGCAATCCTCCTCCCCCAGCCTCCCAAGTAGCTGGGACTACAGGTGAGCACCACCAAGTCTGCCTAATTGTTTCCTATTTTTTAGTAGTGAGGGGCATCTCACTCTTGCTCAGGCTGGTCTCAAACCCCTGACCTCAAATGGTCCTCCCACCTCAGCCTCCCAGAGTGCTAGGATTATAGGTGTGAGTCATCATGCCTGGCCAGCAATAGAATTTAACAGGAGCATGGATCTGGCATTGAGCAACACTCAAAGATATTAGCTCCACCCTTAATTTTCTCAGTGTATATGAACCAGGAAATGTAACCACCGATTTTAAAATTGGCCTTTTTTCTCCAATTACTTATATGGCTCTGTGAAAACGACTTAGTGATAAGTAGTCTACTGCATGTATTAATCCTCAATTTACCTTGTTCATTTTTCCCTTTTTAATATATGTATGTATATCCTAAAGCAGGTAAACTATGTATGTTAGAGTTTGGATTCATTTCATCTCTCCGTGTATTCCTCTATTTTTGGTCATTACAAGGAACACTTGTTATAGGAATCATATACATTTCAGAAAGAAGTAAGAGTTATTTATTTACATCAGGACCAAACTTCATCTGGTACCCAAGAAACTACAAGAAAGATTGAGAGAGAGGAAGTGAGAAAAGTCAGGGGCTTGCAGTCAGACGAGTGGAACATCTATGTTCACCCCTCATTACCATGAATGAGCAAATTACCTAACCTCACTGTGACACAAGATTCGGGGGAGATTCTTGTTTGTTTTGTTTGGTTTTTTAGTTTGCTTTTGCTTTGGGGTTTTTTGTCTTGTTTTTTTTTTTTTTCATTTATAAAGAGAAAACCTATCTCACCTTGTTTGGCTTGCTGAAAAATGCTTTTGTAGGTGTGGAATAAACAGCTGCTGTTAAAATAGGACTAAAAATGTGTTTGGTTGAACAGAGATGTTGAAATAGTGCTTTACAGTCAACCTAAGCCATGCAAAAATATACAGGCATATCCAGACATACTGTGGGTTTGGCTCCAGACCACCAAAATAAAGTGACTCACACAATGTTTTGGTGCATATAAAAGCTATGTTTATATTATCTTGTAGTCTATTAAGTGTGCAATAGCATTATGTCCCCCAAAATAATATACATGCCTTAATTTTAAAGTATTTTATTGCCCAAAAGTACCGGCAATCATCTGAACTTTCAGCAAGTTGCAATCTTTTTGCTGGTGGAGGGTCTTGCCTCGATGTTGATGGCTGCTGACTGATCAGGGTGATGGTTGCTGGAGGTTGGGGTGGCTGTGACAATTTCTTCAAATGAGACAGCAATGAACTTTTCAACATCCATTGATTCTTCCTTTCATGAAGGATTTCTCTTTAGCATGTGATGCTGTTTGGTAGCATTTTACCCATGGTAGAACTTCTTTCAAAATTGGAGTTAATCCTCTTAAACCCTGTCACTGCTTTATCAACTCAGTTTAATACATGAAAGCTTTTGTTGTCGTTTCAACAATGTTCCATGCATCTTCACCAGGAGTAGTTTGCATGTCAAGAAACCACTTTCTTTGCTCATTCATAAGAAGCATCTCCTTATCTGTTAAAAAAAATTTTTTTTTTAAATCTCAGATGCTCATGACTAGAAATCTGTTAAAATTTTATCATGAGATTGCAGCAATTCATTCACATCTTCAGGCTCCACTTCTTCTCTTTGTAGTTCCCTTGTTGTTTTCACCACATCTGTGGTTACTTCTTCCACTGAAGTCTTAAACCCCTCAAAGTCATCCATGGGGGTTATATGAACTTCTTCCAAATACTTGTTTTTTTGTTTTGAGACAGAATCTCGCTTTGTTGCCCGGCTAGAGTGAGTGCCATGGCGTCAGCCTAGCTCACAGACCTCAAACTCCTGGGCTCAACATCCCTGCCTCAGCCTCCCGAGTAGCTGGACTACAGGCATGCGCCACATGCCGGCTAATTTTTTCTATATATATTAGTTGGCCAATTAATTTCTTTCTACAGAGTCTTGCTCTTGCTCAGGCTGGTTTTGAACTCCTGACCTGGAGCAATCCGCCTGCATTGGCCTCCCAGAGTGCTAGGATTACAGGCGTGAGGTACCGTGCCCGGCCCCAAATACTTATTAAGGTTGATATTTTGACCTCCTCCCATGAATCATGGATGTTCTTAATGGCATCTAGAATGGCAATCCTCTCCAGAAGGTTTTCAATTTACTTTGCCCACATCCATCAGAGGAATCATTATCTATGGCTGCTATATTCTTATAAAATGTATTTAAGTCATAAGACTTGAAAGTTGAAATTACTCTTTGATCAAAGGGCTACAAAATGGATTAATGTTAGCAGGCATGAAAACCACATTTATCTCCTTGTACATCTCCATCAGAGATCTTGGGGATCAATTGGACATGGTGGCTCACACCTGTAATACTAGCACTCTGGGAGGATGAGGCAGGAGGATGGCTTGAGGTCAGGAGTTCAAAAACAGACTGAGCAAGAGCAAACCTGTCTCTACTAAAAATAGAAAAAGTTAGCCAGGCATGTTGGCCTTGCCTGTAGTCCCAGCTACTTGAGAGACTGAGCCAGTAGGATCACTTGAGTCCAGGAGTTTGAGGTTGCTGTAAGCTAGGCTGGGGCCATGGCACTATAGCCGGGTGACAGAGCAAGACACTATCTCCCCCAAAAAATAAAGGAAGAGGAAGAAAACAGAGATCTTGGGTGGTTAGGTGCCGTGTCAATGACCAGTAATATTTTAAAACTAATTTTTTTCCTGAGCAATAGGTCACAACAGTGGGCTTAAAATATTCAGTAAACAATGCTATAAACAAATGTGCTGTCATTTAGGCTTTATTTCATTTATAGAGCACAGTTAAAATTGATTTAGCACAATTCTTAAAGGCCCTAGGATTTTCAGAATGGACAGTGAGCATTAGTTTCAACTTAAAGCCACCAGCTGCAATGGACCCTAACAAGACTGTCAGCCTTTCTCAGGTTGGGTTTCTGAAGAAAGAAAAAAAAAAAAGCCAACACTTGCTGCTTCACCTTGCACTTTTATGTTTTGCAGATGGCTTCTTTCCTTAAGCCTCATGTATCAACTTCTGCCAGCTTCAAACTTTCCTCCTGCAGCTTCCTCACCTCTCTCAGCCTTCACAGAATTGAAGAGTTAGGGCCTTGCTCTGGATTAGGCTTTGGCTTATAGGAATAATTGTGGCTAGTTTGATCTTCTTTCCACATCACTAAAACTTTCTCCATATCAGCAATCTGATCATTCGCACGCATGTTTATTGTAGTGATTTCCTTCAAGAACTTTTCAATTGCATTCACAATTTGGCTGTTTGTTGTGTGAGGCCTAGCTTTCAGCCTATCTCAGCTTACATGTGCCTTCCTTACTAAACATCATTTCTACCTTTCTACCTTACTAAACATCATTTCTACCTTTTTAAATTTTGATTTAAAGTGAGAGATGCATGACTTTTCACTTGAACACTTAGAGGTGACTATAGGGTTTTAATTGACCTAATTTCAATATGGTTGTTCTAGGGAATAGGTAGACTCCAGAATGGGGTGGGGGGAAAACAGCCAGTGCGTGAAGCGGTCAGAACACACACAACATTAATTAAGTCTACTGTTTTATATGGACACCGTTCATGGCGCCACAGGAAAGTGACTCCCAATACTGGGAGTCTCTTAAAGTCCAAGAGGGTCCTTGACTTCACAAGAAAAAATTCAGGAGTGAGCTGACGGCATAAAGTGAAAGTGAAATTATTCAGAAACTATAGAAAGTCTACACACCACAGACAGAGCAGAGATAAGTTCTCCCTGCAAAAGAAAACCAGCCCCCTGGTTACCTTAACCTTTCTATTTAAGCAACAGCTTAATTACAGGGTACACAAGGGGAGGAATATTCATCAGAGGTCGGTGTTTCACCCGCTTGGTTCTAACTGGTTGGAACTTGCCCTGCCACCATCCTGTTTTGATCTGGGTAATTTGAAACTTTGTTTTGAGAATTCCAGACTCCACTAGGCAAAGCTACAGACATGCCCAAAGCAATGCCCAAAGCAGTACCTGTCAGTTCCCTGTCTCAGTGATGCGCCAAAACAATTACAATAGTAACAACAAAGATCAATGATCACGGTAAGATATAACAATGAAAAAGTTTGAAATATTTCAAGAATTGCCAAAATGCGACAAAAAGACAAGGTTAGTGCAGGCTGTTGAAAAATGGTGATTATTGACCCCAGGGTTGCCAATAAACTTCAATTTGTAAAAATGCACTATCTGTGCAGTGCAATGAAACAAAGTAGGCCTATAGTGAATTTTAGGGTAGAAGGTGTCCCTCTGATGTCTAAAAGGTGACTGACTAGTCAAGTTTCTAACATTAATACAGTACGCTGAAACAGTGTCAGTAATTTTGCTAGTTTCATCACTGTAATAATCCCCTCTTGCCAAGTTGATAGTAAGCTGTCGGGCCCAGGAGCATATTAAAAATAAACATAAAGAGCATTTCCTTGCGTGTTCTAACATGCACCTGCGCCCCAAAATACACAGATTTCCCTTTGTACAGCCCTGCCCCTCAAGCGAGGATACCTAGCACCACACACACTCGGCAGCCAGTAGCTAGGAGCGAACCTAAAACATTAAACCATTTTTAAACGATGGCGCATGCGCCTGTAACGTTCTCGCAGGTGAGATTTGGAAAGGAAGGAATCGCGGCATCCACGATCCTCTCGCGAGAGGAGAGGTCTTCGCGCCACGTCAGAGACTAGAGACCCTGACGCCGAGCGACAGGTGCCGGAACAAACAGGCGGTGAAAAACTAGGGTCGTGGAGCCGCTTTGGTGGGGCAGGACTTCCGCCGGAAGAGCTTGCTGTCTCAGAAACTCAGAGCCGAGTTCCGGTCGGCTTTCTCCCTGGGAGTCTTGTGCCGGCGCCGGGTGGACGTCTGTGAGGATGGCTTGCGCAGCCGCGCGGTCCCCTGCCGACCAGGACAGGTGGGTCCCGGGGAGGTGGGTCCTGAGAAAGGCAGGGGTTTGCCGCGGTGCCGCGGGTGCTGCGCCGCCCTTCCCCAGCCCTCGGCCGTGCGCTCGGCCTGGGCCGCAGGGCCCTTCCCCGGGCTGCCCGTTCCTCCGGGAAGTCTGCAGCACTGAGTAGGCTCTTCGCAGGTCCCCCGAAATTCCCATCTTTAAGAAGTTCAGTGTTTACCTGTGCCTGAGATAAAGGGCTCTGGGTGTTATGTGGGCACGATACTAAGTAACAGAATCGGGGTGAGGAATGTGTTCTTTTAATTGTTACATTCAGAAAGGCTCATATGGGTTCTTTAAAGTTTTTAATACCTCATGCACCATACTTTTTGATTTTTTTGAGGGCGAGGCCCACCCCTCAGGAACTTGTGGCAGGTAGATGTGTCTAATGTAACAGTTACCACATTGTTTCGTCTCTATTTTTTTTTCCAGTCTTCTGTAAGGTTTTAACTCTTATTTCTTCCACTCAAGTCAGTGAATAATAACGTTTCCTTTTTAAGTAAGTTAAAGGTTGTAGTTTAGAGAAAAAGTGTTAAGCAAATAATAGTATAGGTGTACACCGGCGATCGTGATGACGACGGAGTGAATGAATGAATTTTTGGAATTGCTGCTCTAGTTATATTGGATGTGCTTTTTCTGTGGCAGGTTTATTTGCATCTATCCTGCCTATTTAAATAATAAGAAGACCATCGCAGAAGGAAGGCGGATCCCCATCAGTAAGGTAAGCGGGTGGCTGGCACCTCAGTCCTTGAGGGGTCGGGGGGGTGGTTGTCCCTTTAGGGCCACAAGGGCTTCTTATACTTCACTGCATTTGCTTAGGGCTTGACAACAGCAGCCAAGAATTAGGGTGCTTTCCTTAATATTGGTGAAACCAGAAGGATATTAATTTATAGTTGAAAGGATTTTTTTTAATTGTACTTTTTTTTTTTTTTGAGACAGTTGCCCAGGCTAGAGTGAGTGCCGTGGCATCAGCCTAGCTCACAGCAACCTCAGTCTCCTGGACTCAAGCGATCCTACTGCCTCAGCCTCCCGAGTAGCTGGGACCTCAGGCATGCGCCACCATGCCCAGCTAATTTTTTTTTTTGTATATATATTTTTAGTTGGTCAATTAATTTCTTTCAATTTTTGGTAGAGACGGGGTCTCACTCAGGCTGGTTTCAAATTGCTGACCTCGAGCAATCTGCCTGCTACAGCCTCCCAGAGTGTTAGGATTACAGGTGTGAGTCACCACACCCGGCCTAAAAAATTGTTCTTAATGAGTCTGTGTTTGTAAAGAAGTGTGTGTATGTTGGGGACTGGGGGCTGTAGAATTTACACTTTTTTTCTAAACCAGTCATGACAATTTTTCCCTTAGTAAAGGAAATTAAAATTATGGTATTGCGCAACATAACGCTTAGAATGCAGTGGAGTTTTCAAAAATATGTAAAAAAGACCTGCTGAAAGTTCAGCCCTGTTGATTTATATCTTCATTATCTTTTTGGGTTTTTTTGAGAGGGGTAAAGTTGCTTTAAAATCAATACTTTCTAAAAGTAGACTGTTAAAGTTTTAAAAGATGTGATTTCCTCCTTATGTGCTTTGGATAGAAAAACCCAAGTTTTTAGTTTATGTGGTGACTTGAGTTTGGAAAGTGGGTAATGACAAGCGAAGGCTTTTGTAGAAGCTTTCTATTTTTAAAATTGATGTCATATTCTGTTTTTAAGGAGTCATTTATATTTTATAATATAATGACAGATTAAAGGTAACTTGATCTGAAGTGATAAATTTTCACAAAGTAAATTCAGGAGTAAATACATAAATTTACACCTGAGTAACCAGCACCCTAATTAGAAAACATTACCAGTATCCAGGAAGATTCCTTTATATACCCTTCTAGTCACTGTCCCCTCCACATATGCAAGGATAACCACTGTCCTGACTTCTGACATTAAAGATTACTTTTGCTTATTTTTGAATTTTATATAAATGGAATTATGTACTATGTACTTTTGTATCTTTTTTTACTGAACTTTAAGCTTATGAGATTTATCCACATATTTGAGTGTAGTTGAATTTTCATTGCTCTGTAGCAAAGTTTGTCAACAGCAACACCATTGACATTTTGAGCCAGATAACTCTTTGTTTTAGGGAGCTGTCCTGTGTATTTTAAGATGTTCAGCAGTATCCCTGGCCTCTACCCACTAGATGACAAGTCCTCTACCTCCACATCCCCAATTTTGACAATTAAAAATGTCTATGAGCATTGTCAAATGTCTTTTTTTGGAGGCAGGGGGTTGGAATTCCCCTGCTGAAAACCACTGTTTTATAGTAGTGCATTTTGTGTATAGTCCTTGCTACTCTTGATGAATAATTGGGTTGTTTCTAGTTTGAGGCTGTTATAAATAGTGCTGCTGTGAACATTCTTGAGCTTGTATTTTAGTGAACATATTTTTGCATTTCTTTCGAATGGAATTGCACAGCCATAGGAAATGCATATGTTCAGCTTTAGTAAATACTGCCAATTTTCTAAAGTAGTTGTATGTGTCATTGTTAAAATGCTTAGTGAATGCTTTGAATACCTACTATGTTTAAAATACCATACTAGGCGCTGGGGAATACACTGATGAACAAAGTACCTGCCCTCAGAAGTTTGTGTTCTGTTGGAAGGGAAAGACAGACACATATGTATGCATCAGTGTTACTCCCAGGAATTTTTTAAATTACAGTCGAAACAACTGTACCTAGTAAAAAAGAAAAGGTAGGGTTTTGATGAGTTTTGATTATAGTATTTAATATACACAACACTATGTGATAGACACTTAAAGCTTAGCTATTTCGTGTTTTTGTTTTTAACTGTTCAGGCTGTTGAAAATCCTACAGCTACAGAGATTCAGGATGTATGCTCAGCAGTTGGACTTAATGTATTTCTTGAGGTATGATGTCATTCTTTCTTCATTATTTTACATACTCATCTCATTGTTGTAATAACTTTCTTAAAGCCTGTTTCTTTTGTTTTATTCATATTAGAAAAATAAAATGTACTCTAGAGAATGGAATCGTGATGCCCAATACAGAGGCAGAGTCCGGATTCAGCTTAAACAGGAAGATGGCAGCCTCTGTCTGGTACAGTTTCCGTCACGTAAGCTTTTTTAAATAAATGAATAGGGTTTGGGGATGGGTTATTCCTCTATAATACAAAAAAAAGTTCTAAAACTGGAAGGTAAAAATCAGAGATTGCATTCTACAGATTAATCTGGAAAAAGGACTATGGCCAATGGAGAGGTAAACAGTGGTTCTAATTTCTTTTAGGTTAAGGACCTCTTCGAGAATGTGATAAAACCTAATTGTTTTTCAGAAAAGGTTGTTTTTGTGAACATTTATGAAACTCTGGAAATCCATCATTGCTCCCAAGTTAAGAGTATAAAATTATTCAGCAGTTGGATGTTAATTGCCATTTCAGATCTTAGAGACTTTGCAGGTTTGTTAGTTGTAATTTCTATCATTAATCTAAAAAGCAATATTGAGTGAAAACAGCAAGAGATATGCATAGTGTGGTGCCACTTAGGTAACTTTACCAAATATTACTATTATTTATAGATAGATTTATAGGTAATATTATCTGTTGATATAAATGTTTTTGAAATAGACCGGAAGGGAACACCGACTCTTTATTTTATTTTATTTTATTTTATTTTATTTTATTTTATTTTATTTTATTTTATTTTAATATTTATTTTTACTGTTGAGCGAGTGTGTGTAGGGAACACCCATCATAAGAGATAGTTACCTAATGGAGAGCAGAGAGTAGGGAGTAGAGATTGGGTGATGGTCAGAGAATACTATAGCATCATCTTGTGTTTATTTCATGAAAAACAATACAATAAAACTGGTATAACAAAATGTTCTAGATTTCAGGAAGATAAGTGTTTATTTACAGGTTTTTTTATTTTTCTGAATTTTTATTTCTAAAAAGGATATTTTAATTTTTATAAATGGAGCAATTTACTTTTTAAAAAGTTTTTCCTCAGTTTAATACTTCAGTTTAAACTCTTCCATTTAATTCAACTAAAAACAAATTGTGAGACAAACTGACAACTTATTTTTACTTGAATTAAAATAGGTTGGTTTTTATGTATCAAAACCTGTAAGGATTGGTAAGTATTGCTACAAACTTAAGATTCTGACTCAGGAGTGACAGTATATTCTGATTTTTTTTTTCCTTCTCTTTGACATTTCCCTATACTATATCTCAAAAGACTAAAAATAAACCAAAAAATTTTGACTTGACCAGTAAATAAAATAGTGGTAAACATTGTGGTTGAAAAGATGTCACTTCCTGTTTCCAATAAGAAACTAGTAACATTGTAAAAAGAGGAAAGCTGAGGAGCTTGATATGTTAGGGTAAGGAAGGTGGGTGAAAATGTGTTGTAGCCTAATGACCTTGGTTTTTGTTATAATATTGAGAGACCCTGTGTTTCTGTAGCTTAAGATACAATGATATTCTGACTCTTTCCAACTTATATTTAGATATATTTTGGTCTTCGAACCAATTACTAGGATCAAGACCAAAATTTTTGTCTCAAACTTACTGTTTTACAATTTGATTTTGATTACTTAAATATTTTCAGCATTGTTCTTGCTCTCAGTAAATTTTCTCCAGTAGAGACGCCCACTTGAGCAAGTCACTATCTTCACAGTCATTTGATTTTTTTTTTTTAATTACTTCCATTTTCTCTATATGATAGTTTCTTGGACTTTATGATATTTAAGATAATGACGTTTTATGTCTTATTTCTCAGATTATACACTAAGCCTAACTTCTGGTTCCTAGGTAAGTCAGTAATGTTGTATGCAGCGGAAATGATACCCAAACTAAAAACAAGGACACAAAAAACAGGAGTTGGTGACCAAAGTCTTCAGCAAGGAGAGGGAAGTAAAAAAGGGAAAGGAAAGAAGAAGAAGTGACCCAGTATGAGCATCATTTATCTGATACTATGCCAAGAGACATGAATGGAGGCTTCTAATTTGTATCTGAGAGAAACAGAAGCTCTTTGTTTGCATTATTTTATTGAACTATGCACACTTGTGCCTCCCATCATCATCATCATAGTTGACAATGAAATAAATCTACATCAGAACTTTGCATCTAGCTTTTATGCAGTAAAGATTTTTTTTTTTTTGTCTTTCAATGTAGAGTTTTTGTGGAAGGAAGAATATTTTTAAATGGACTATACAATAAGCTACTTGAAATCCTGTATCTGTTTGTCTTCTATGTAAATGTATGTTTCAGATAACTAAGTTTAATGAGATTTGAAATACACATTTTGTTCACCTTTTAAGTTAATGAAATAAAATTTGGAACTGACTTTTGCAGCTTTTGCTTATGAACTAATTAATGCCAGTAGAGGAGGTAATTAAAGAGAATAAACTAGGTAATGAGAGCTTCAACGGTGAGCCTAAAACTAGAAGAAAGTGGTAAATCCTCTTGGGGGTAGGAGGGGATTTTATACAGCCAATCTGTAGATTATATTCTTTTAATCTGTTATTGTAATTGAATTGTTCAGTTGCTAGTTTTTGACATATGAAAAGTCCTGGGTTTTAAGCTTTAAATTTATTTTATAGGTTTAAGAACATTATTTTCATTGAAGTTCTAAAATTACCTATTTTAGCACCTTGAGGTATACTTTCTTTCAAGAAACTAAATTGAGTTGGTGCTTCTGAATTTATTTCAAAGCACTGTTTCTGAAAGTGGTGATTTTGAGCTATCCTGATTCCTGTTCTTGAGGCCTGGTTTAGCTTTTTCTTGAATTCTGTGAGCTACCTCATATATTAATACTTCCAGTAAATGCTATTTTCTTTAAATTTTTATTGCTTGTCAATCCCAATTGATTTCAAAATAAGCAATTTTGAAAGAGTTATGGAGCTTTAAATGGGAGTATACGTCCTATCTGTATGAAGATCATCTATTAGTGTGCAAGATGAAGTCTTAGAATTTCTACTTATTTTTTCACTCTAACGATTTCTGTTATGTTTTATAGTGAACACAATAGTATAGCAGTTTATATATTTGACTTATAAATAAATATTGAGGCAGTATGTGTAAAACATTCATAGCAGCCCTTGTGGGAAAATTATCCCGTAGGAATGTGTTTATGTAACAGAAAACAGAGATTTGAGCTAGAGTTTATCTTATTTTATTTTTTTGAATAACTTGAAATCCAAAGAAGGTTGTTACAGGTGCTGGTTCAGCTCTCAGTGATTGTCTTCTTTGTATTTTTCCACTCGCATTTTCCATGGCATATTTCTGACATCCTTATGATTGATGCCTCAAGCTCGTACACGGGCTGACACTTACATAAGAGTTCAAGTCAAGAAGAAAAGATAGCTGTGCCAGCCACTTTTGTCCTCCTTTAAAAGGAAAGCAAGAGATTTCTCAGCATTCCTCTCAGCAGACTTTCACTTAAGTTTCATTGTTGACAATTGTGGCACATGTCCATCTCTGGCTGCAAAAGAAACTGGGAAAATAAATACAGTAGTACCGTTCATCCACAGGGAATACATTCCAGGACTCCCAGTGGATGCCTAAAATGGTGGATAGTAGCCAATCCTATATGTATTTTATATTTTTTTCTATGCTTACATAGAAGCATATTTTATATTTTTTTCTATGCTTACATATGATGAAGTTTTAATTTATAAGTTAGGCATAGTAAGATATTATCAACAATAACAAAATAGAACAGTCATACTGTAGTAAAAGTTACGTGAATGTGGTCCATCAAAATATTTCGTTGTACTATACTTGCCTATTTTCAGACCTCAGTTGACTGGGTAGTGGGAACCAGAAAAGGGAGACTGCTACTGTTTAGAGCTTTTTTAGTTGCGACAGTCAAAGCAGCTAAGGAAGAAAGTAGCTGAGAATACATACTGGGGTAGCCAATTTAAAAGATTTGTCACAAAATGATGACTGAAATCTAAAATTGTTTTAGTTATGGGGCAGTAAGGATTGTCAGTGCTGTGGTTTTTCCCTTCCAAAACTCATGTTGAAATTTAATTGCCATTGTGTTGGTAGTGATTGGGCCATGGGGACTCCACCTTCTAAATGGATTAATATCATCTCAGGAGTAGGTGTGTTACCAAATGGACTTTGGCCAACTCTCTTGCAGTTTTTAGCACACTCCCTTGCCCTTCTACCTTCCACCATGGGATGATTTGACATGAAGGCCTTTGCCAGCCAGACTTTGGCTCCGTGCTCTTGGATTTCCCAGTCTCCAACCATAAGCCAAATACATTTCTATTCATTATAAATTACCCAGTCTGTGGTATTCTGTTATATAGCAACATAAAACACTAAAACGGAGAATGTTTGAGAAATATTGTAACAGTGTGTTGTTTCTTCACATTGTTGAAATTGATGCAAAATCAAACTTTTCTTTTTTGCCAATTGATAAGTGAAAAATAGAATCTTTAAAAAGTTTTTTTATTTAGAAAAATTTTGTAGAGGTGGGGATCTCACTGTGTTGCTCCTGCTGGACTCAAAACTCCTGGGTAAAATGACCCTGCACAGTAGCTGGGACTATAGATAGGCACATTCCACCTTGGGCGGCTGAAAAGTGGAATCTTAATGAACAAGGTTGAGCATTTATTCATATGCTGAAATGCTATTTGTATCCATTTCAATGATTGTGTTCACATCCCCTGCCCACTTTTTAAGAACTTTATCAAAATTATACTTGTACGTAATTTAAAGTGTCAGCTAGATTTAACAGTTTGTTTCAGTTTTAGGCATTAACTTCCGTCTGTAGAAGAGGAGGATCCAGTTTTCCTTCCTCTTTTCTCCCCCACGACACACATGCATGTTTCTCATCTTTGCATCCTACCAATATATTTCATAATTTTAATCACTGTTTAGAGTTTACGTTATTATCATACATGGCATTCACACCTGAGCCATGTAGCACCTTGGATACTCAAAAGTATGATCTGGGGACCAGTAGCACTGGCCTCCCCTGAAAGCTTGTGAAAAATGCAGTATCTTTGGCTCCAGCACAGAACTCTTAACACATTGAACAAGATCTCCAGGTGATTCTTATGCATATTTTTTTTTTTTTTTGAGACAGAGTCTCACTTTGTTGCCCAGGCTAGAGTGACTGCCGTGGCATCAGCCTGGCTCACAGCAACCTCAAACTCCTAGGCTCAAGCTATCCTTCTGCCTCAGCCTCCCGAGTAGCTTGGGCACGTGCCAGGCATGTGCCACCATGCCCAGCTAGTTTTTATATATATATATTAGTTGGCCAATTAATTTCTTTCTATTTATAGTAGAGACGGGGTCTTGCTCTTGCTCAGGTTGGTTTCGAACTCCTGAGCTCAAACGATCCACCCGCCTCGGCCTCCCAGAGAGCTAGGATTACAGGCGTGAGCCACCGCGCCCGGCTGATTATTCTGCATATTAAAGTTTGAGAAACACTGAAGTACTCTATGGTTATCATAGTTTTTCTGGACTTCTTTTTTCTTTGGAATTAAATATTCTTTCATTTGCTTAGATTTCTAAATACCACTAATTGAACCACAAATTATCGGTTGTCAGAATGTCCTTTCAAAAGCTCATTCACCTCAGGTAGTTTATTAATTTTTCTTTATTTTGATACAGTGTCTCTGTTGCCCAGGTGCAGTGGCATTTAGCTCAAACACCTGGTCTCAAGTGATCCATCTCAACCTCCTGAGTAGCTGGGATTACAGGCGTGAGCCACCGCACCCAGCCAACCTGGCTCTAATCCCTTACCCTTTAGACCTAGTGCACAGCTTCACTTTGGATTCTGTCCTCACTGTGATATGGAGTGTGACTCAATTTCATGAGTCACAATTGCTGTTTTGGAGATGTGCACTCACATATCCCATGCTGTCTTATTTTTTGCATTATTCCTGTTTTGTATAGCTCATCTTCAGCATCTTTCTGGGAAAAGTGCAAGGGAGGTAAATGTTCTTAGACCTTACATATCTGAAAATGTCATCATTCTACCCTTACATTGTTTGGCTGGGTATAGGATTAGACTTGGAGATCATTTTGTTTCAGATGGTCAAGGTTAGTGCTTCATGGTCCTCTGATCTCTCGTAGCTAAAGAGAAGTTCAAACCATTCTTGTTCATAATCGTGATTTTGGTTCTCAGTATTCTGAAATATCACAATACTGTATGGGCCTTTTTTGCTCATTGTGCTGGGTAACAAGTAGGCTTTCAATCTGGGAATTTGCATTCTTCAGTTCACGCAAATTTTTCTCAAAATTTCGTTGATGATTTTCTCCCCTTCTGACCTTTCTTGAACTCCTTATTTGAATATTAGAACTGCTGGCATTGTCCTCAATTTACATTTTTCCCCTCTTATTTACTTTTTTTTTCCTTTGTAGTCTGCTTCTTAGATTTCTTCAGCTTCATCTCCCAACCTTTCTATTGGATTTTCCATTTATCTTTTCAGCTTCTCTAAGCAGTTTTTTGATATCTGCATGTTTCCTTTTTCTAGCACTCTATGCTTATATTTCATGGATGTAACTTACTTCTCAGAAGGTATGATTTATATTCTTATCATTTTCAAGTCCGTTTTTTTCTGTTTTTATTTTGATCCCTGTCATATTAAGTGGCTTGCTGGTTTAGGAGCAAAAGCCCAAAAGTTTGTTGGAAGTTCTGAACACATAAGAAGGGTTTGCGGCCTGTTGCTTCACTAAATTCTCCCGAAGGCATCTGGCTGGGATGCCTTTGGTAGAATTTCGAACATCAGAGAATTTTGATCCACTTCCCCAGAGAGGAGTCTTACAATATTCCAGGATAGTCTGCTTGTTAGGGTTCTAGGAGCCTAGTGGGAGAAAGCTAGGTGGGGTAAATTCGTCTCACCATTTAGTCTTTTCAACCTGTTTTAAATACAGTCTCTCTCCAATCTGGTAGAGTCTACTAGTGAGGGCAAAAATCCCAAGGTCTGGAGAGTTTCCTAACTATTAATACTTAACTGGTGTATCAGTTTCCCACCGCTGCTGTAAGAAATTGCCAAAAATTTAGAGGCCTAAAACTACACATATGTATTGTATGGAGGTTAAACATTCAAAGTGCATTGGCTGGGCTGCATTCCTTTTGGAGACTCTAGAGGTAAACTCTGCTTGTTTCCCAGAGATCCTCTTACTATCTCCAGAGAATAAACCTCCAGTTTTTTTGTTTGTTTGCTTTTACCTGAATAGGGATAATTTTTCACCAATCCTCCTTACTACCTTCCAACATTAACCGTGATCGTGCCATTGCACTCCAGCCTGGGCAACGGACTGAGACTCTCTCTCTTTAAAAAAACAAAATAAGCCGGGCGTGGTGGCTCACGCCTGTAATCC